AATCAATCAATCAATCAATCAATCGAGAGCCAGTTTGGTCTAGTGGTGAAGGCCCCAGGCTAGAAACCAGGAGACTGTAAGTTCTAGTCCCGCCTTAGGCATGAAAACCGGATGGGTGACTTTGGGCCAGTCACTCTCTCTCAGCCCAACTCGCCTTACAGGGTTGTTGTTGTGGGGAAAATAGGAGGAGGAAGGAGTATTAGGAGTTCACCACCTTGAGTTATTTATAAAAATAATAAAGGAGGAATAATAATAATAAAAAAGAAATAGTTTGAAGGAGTAGGGGTCAGATGTCATTCAAGCTCTCTCAAATTTCTGTCCTATGGTTTACAACTCCCTGTCAAAACCTTCTTGCTTACCTGTTTCCTTGTCCGCGTCTTCCCAGTCCTTAACTTGATGTAACGGGCAATGAGCTCATTACGACCTGCAAGACAGAGAAGAAATGGGAAAAGAGAAAATGAGAAAACGGTTGGTAAATCAGAAATATTACCTGCCCAATCTAAGCTCCGTGTGTGACAGGGACACTTCTGCAGGCCATTTGGTCTGGCCACACCACTGTTGGTAAACTAAGTGGCTACATTAGCAGAGGGAAAGCTTGCATTTCAGGGGTCCCAAATTCTGGATCATTTGGATTAGCAGGTTCCCAGATATTTTATTCATTTATTTAAAAGATTTATATAGCTACCCAGGTTATGTACCATAACCCTGGGTGGCTCACAGAACAATAGAAACATAAAAACCACAACAAAAACTCCCAGCACCCCAAAGGCAACACATTTCCACATGCCCACATTCAATTGCACTGGGCTCCAGCCTCATTCTACCCCAGTGCTTGTGAGAAGAGCCAGCTCTTCAAGACCTTCTGGAAGGCTAGTGGGGTACGGGTCTGCCGGATCTCAGGGGGAAGGGTGTTCCACAGGACAGGGGCTACCATGGAGAAGGTGTGCATCCTCAGTCCTGTGAGATGACAGCATTTAAGGGAAAGAACCTGGAGGGTGCCCACCCTGTCAGACTTGGTGGAATTGGCAGATACCCTCTGGAAGAGGCAGTCCCACAAATAACCCGGTCCTGTGCCATGCACAGGATGATACCCAGCACCCTGAACTGTACCCAAAAATAAAGGGAAGCCAATGCACTCACACAGTAGTGGTGCAATATGGGTGAACCATGGCATGCCTAGAATTGCATGCACAGCTGCATTCTGGATCAGTTGTAATTTCTGGATGTCTTCAAGGGCAGCCCCATGTATAGTGTGTTGCAATAATCCAAATGGGAAGTGACCAGGGTGTGAATGACCGTGACCAAGGCCTCCCAGTCCAGGAACAGGCACAATTAATACATCAGATACAAAGTCCTCTCTGCTCACAGCTACCACCTGCTCCTTGAGCAGGAGCCATGAGTCCAGGAGAACCCCCAAAGTGCACATCAGCTATGCCTGGGGGAGTGCTATTCTGGCCAGAGACTGAGATGACACCTTACCAGAATCAGGGGGACCAAAAACCTGGAGCCGTCTTGCTAAGGTTGAATCAGAGTCGATTCTTCCCCATCCAGGCCCTTACATTGGGATAGCAGTGACTGGCTGGCTGAGGGTGAAGATGTATAACTGGATATCATCAGCATACTGATAATATCATACCCTGTGCTGCCAGATGAGTTCCCCCAACAGTCTCATATAGATGTTATACAGCAGGGGCAGGAGACCCAAACCTTGAGGAACCCCACATTGCAGGGCCCTAGGGCTTGCACACAAACACCAACTAAAACAGACCACAGAAGAAGGGAGAGAACCATTGCAAACCATCGACCCCCCCCCCCCCCCCCCCCC